CTGGTGTGTAGCAGTTCTTTAGAACAGTTATTGCCGTGACTAAATTTGTAGTGGATTCTGCTTGATTGCTCTGTAACCCAGGGAAGTAGGAATGGTTGATTTTGTCCTACATTCATTATATTAGCTGATACAATCACGTGGCCATTTCTAAAGAGGTTTAATCAGGTTCACATTGGACCTTAGGAGAAGGTGCTCCACTGAAAGGATGGTTAGTCACTGGAATAGACTCTCCAGGAAGGACCACTGAAAGGATGGTTAGTCACTGGAACAGACTCTCCAGGAAGGGGGAGTGGTCACAGCACCAAGCCTGTCAGAGTTCTAGGGCAGTCTTGATGATGCTTTTAGTCATATAGTTTAGGTTTAGGTGCAAGGAGTTGGACTTGATGATCCTTATGGGTCCCTTCCAATGTGAGATGTTTTAACCTATGACTATGTGAGAAATCAGTAGGACTATTTGCAATGGTGAAGCTGAGGATAAACATGAACAAATGCCCGTAGGACTAAGGCTTGTAATGTGTGTCTGTGGGCAGCAACAGGTACATGCAGGAGAGACTTTTTGTGTCTGTCTTCATAGTGATAAAGGGATACAGGCACTGCAGAGGCACTGCCCATCTCATCTGTTTAGGCTGAGATTGCTCTTTGAGTTCTATTTCTCTCTGTTGATTATAAAGGAAAATTTATCGTAGAGGCAGACACGCAATCTGAGATTAGGGTTTTTTCCATCATGTGCTTTAGTCACCTACTTTCAGATTACAGGCACTTTGTGTTATTCTGTACAAAAAAATTGAGGCATATCTACCATAGCAAGATTTTCTCTTCCTCAAGGGGAAAGGTTTTGTGGGGGCAGAGGTTTTCCTGTGTTAAGACCTGTGTACAGGGTGATAGTTTGTAGTTGGTGAGTTGGCTAATTACACCTGTCTGCAGAATGGAGACCTAAAACATAAATGAACTGATGGGTGTGTGACTCTCCACCTTGCAAGGAGGATTTGAATTCCTGAATTCTTGCCTTCAAGCCTGTGCTTAATCTTCCAGACTGTACTGCCTTCTAACATGGAAAATTATCTCTTCAGGGATAGTGAAGAATGCTTTCTTTCAAGAATACACTGAAATTGCAGTTTGCTAAACAAGATTAAGTTAATGTTGGTGATACCCAATTGTGGTTTGAGTTTATTCACCGGGAAATTACAGAGTGCAAAGAAAAAAACAACTTTCTAGTAGGATATTGCAGTATTTCCGTCAGGGTATTTTAGTCTCTGTAGATTTTACCCAAAGATTTTGCTTTTGTTTCTGACTTGTTATACAAACATATCCTTATTTTTGAAAGCATATTTGTATACATTTAGCAAAATTGATCTAAATTTGCCTGACTGTACCTATAATTTCATTTGAGCTTCTGAAAGGCATGAACGCAGAGAATGATGTAGAGCATTAATGGAATGTGTAAAGATCTTTTCAGATCTTTTCTAAATTCTGCAGAAAGGCTTTGCACCTGAACTGTGAATTCCCTAATACACTTCAGAGGCAGAACAAAACTGGAAAGTGGTCGTGCAAATCTACTGTTCTGTGACCAATTTATGTATCTAGTCCCTTTTCTGAGCTCCTATGTTTCACTACGAAAACTTTGAATGGCAGTGAGATGGGGAATGGTATATGGGAGTATTTAAAAATAGTTTTGCTATGGATTTCTTTTGAAAATGTGTATAATCATATTGTACATTTAATTGAAACATCACATTAAGAAAAATGCTTGCATGTGTACAGTTGAGCTTTGAATGCTTATTAAAGAAGAGCTGCTTATCTGTTGGAACAAATCTGAATTTCTTTAGCAAAATTGATTTTATGCATTTAAAAAGGAAAAGGATGTGTTGATGTTTAGGTGGTTTTTTTTTAATTTGGGCATCCAGACCCTTTCTGATTCTATTTTAGAAGTTTATCCACTTGGGTAATTTCTGTTTACATCTCATGCTTTTTCTTCATTGCTGCTGACCATTTCCTTCCCATCCTACTTTATTTTATTTTCCTTTCTCAATTGTGAGATACCACTGAGAGAGACAGGCTGAGGAGGAAAGTAGAAGATCTGTAATCTTGAGTTTTTGCTTCCTTTAATCATGTTTGTCAGTATACATCTGATTATATATCTGACTGTTTTCCATACAAAAAGGAAAAAATGGTAGATTTCTGTTAAATGTTGTACACTGATTGTAGTTTTCATGTATATCTTCTCTTTGTCCCCTTCCTATGGTTTGTCACTTGTATTGTTACAATACAAAAGCTCCCACGGAACCACTGCCTTGATCATCTGGTTTTATATTTTCCTCCAAAGCTACACTAAAAATTAGAATATTCTATGTAAGAAATAATACATAGCACCTTTTATGGCTGATAATTTTTAATGTTGTCTTCTATTACTTGTTTATATAAAAAAGTTAATGCCTCTCTTGACTTACCAGATGAAAAACCTGAGTAGTGTAGGTTTGTTCTTGTTTGCTTGTTTGTTTTTTAAAATGAAAGTTGTGATGTTGCAACCAGCACAGAGAGTAATGTACTGTGTATATGTTTTTGTAAGTTCTGGTCAGGATATCCAAGGAACAAGTGTGGTGGCAAATCTTCCAGTCCTGATGCGACAGAATCCTGCAGAAACACTTCGTCGGGTTTTACCAAAAATCAGAGTAAGTTTTGTGTGATGAGGTTTGAATGCATCTTTTTCTGCCAGTATAAGTATTTTTACTAAGGTAAAAAAACCCAAACCCACTTTTACTGCAAACTTACTCTCTAGGAGAGGTATGTCCAGTAGGTCTTTCACATTATTTCACTGAATTTACTAAGTATTACAGGTATAATATATTTTAAAACTTGTTACAACAGGAAAAAAAAGGCAGAATTAATACTATTTACACCTTCTAAAGGTTGACCAGTGCTTCAACAGCTTTTTCAGAATTCTTTTTGAGGACCATCCATTGATAATGTTGATGTTCTCAGTCTCCTTCCATCCAAACATTAAGATTTTCATGCTGCTATCCAGAAGAGTATTGTTTACTTTTAGCTGTCTCTGAAATTTTATGTTTTGAGTAAGTCACTGCTAGCTGTGGTAGATGCATACTGACCATGTAGTGTTGTACTGCAATTTTATATATAGATATGTTTGTATAAAGGATGTTTGGATTGTTTAACCCGGAGAAGAGAAGGCTCTGGGTAGGCATTATTGTGACCTTTCAGTATTAAAAGGGGGTGTATAAGAAAGAGAAGAACAAACTTTTTAGTAGGGCATGTTGAGATAGGACAAGGGGTAATGGGTTTGAACTGAAGAAGGGTAGATTCAGGCTAGATAAAAGGAAGAAATTTTTTACCATGAGGATGGTGAAACATTGGAACAGGTTGACTGAAGAAGTGACAAGGGGTAATGGGTTTGAACTGAAGAAGGGTAGATTCAGGCTAGATAAAAGGAAGAAATTTTTTACCATGAGGATGGTGAAACATTGGAACAGGTTGACTGAAGAAGTTGTGGATGCCTCAACCCTGGAAGTGTTCAAGGCCAGGCTGGATTGGACTCTGAGCAACCTGGTCTAGTGGAAGGTGACCCTGCTCATCGCAGCAGGGATGGACTAGCTAACCTTTAAAGGTCCTTCCAACCCAAACCATTCTATGATCTATGATTTTAAGAAAGAGACATATCTCTGTATTTCTGCTCTGCCCCAGGTATCAAGAAATGTAATGCCTAGAAGAAATGTATATTCATTTAAGGTGTGGTTTAAGGAGCTACTTCAGCCAAATAAGAACAAACTGCATCACAAACACAAACGCAAAGCCTAATAACTCTAAATAACTCCAGTAACTCTATATAAGGCTGCAATAGGAATGAAGACTTTCATTACGTTAGCCTGCCTGTTAGAGTGGTTTTCAGTGATTTTAAAGGCTACCAGCTGAGTGGAAAGATACATTTGTCTTGGCTATCAAAATATCTCAGTTTATTTTGGTAGCAGCAAATTTCTGAGTGATTTTTTAACAGTCTTCTACTCATACCACTGGCAGTTTTTATAGGAGTAAATCAAAGTTTTGATTCAGAACAGTCTCTAACCTAGTCTCATGTAGTTGATTATTTTGATGTAAACCTTTTTGTTTCTTAGTAGTTGTTTGAATGTGTGTGCTCTCTATGGGAAAACAGATAAAAATCACAGGAGTTTCTCGTAGACATTTTATTCTCAAAGCATTGAGTTGTGTTCGTAATTTCATGGACTCAGTTTCCTCATATGTATTTAGAGATGCATTTGATATTTTTGCTAGTCATGATTCAGTCAAGATTTTACCAGGACACATTTTAGAATTTAGGCTTTAAAATTCTTCCCTTTTTAACATATTTTGCCAATAGGCATTTTATTTTCTTGTTGGAAGTAACTAATGCTTAAGAAGAGTATTTGGATCGCTTCAGAAAGACATAAAGAGTTTTACTAGTTACTGACTTGAGCTAAAGATGAATTTGGTGATTGAACTGAAATCATGAGTTATGTTAAGAATCTTCTTGGCTGTGTTGCCCCCTCTATCTCAAGCACATTAGGAACAAGAAGTCTTCTGTAGTAGTTGCTGTGAGTTTCTTGCTGTATCTGCATCAAATTCTCACTGCCAGGTATTAGAAAGAGTATAATTATATTAGCATGTAAAATGAGATGGCTGATTCACATGCATATGTTAGAGTTTTCTATCTACCAAGGAGATGATTACTAAATAGCATAGTGGGCCCATGCAAAAAATATGCTTGTCTGTTCCAGTAAATTGTCATTTAGATTTCATTGTTTTCTTTGTTGAAGTTTTGAAAAAAATTAATTGCTTCTTTTCTTGAAAAGCTCTGTAGATATGTATCTGTCAGCTTTTAAAATGTCTTTTGTAGCAGGTAACATAGCATTATATTAATAAGAGAATGAAAGAGAATCATATTATGAAAAATTACTTGATATATTTCTTATTGTCTCTGGAATTGGTCTTAAACTGAATCCTCCCTCTGTCTCCTAATGTTAAGAAAGAGGCTGCTCAAGGAACATTTCAGTATTTGTGAGAAAGCTAATTTAATGAGTTATATTCTGCACACTTGTGGTGAATTGATTGACTGAAAGATAGGGAGCAAATATTTTTTTAGTCCTTAGCATGATTACTTAGCAAATGCTCTTGTGTAGGCTATTTAAATGGAAGCCTTATTGCAAAGGAGACTTAGGTTCTATGTGGTCGATGCACTCAGTAATGTTCCATGCACTGATACATCCTGGGGCCACCTGACTGCAAAGCTGCTTGTCAGAAGAGCACATGGGGGTCCTGGTGGTCACCAAGTTGAACATGAACCAACAATGTGCCCCTGCAGCTAAACATCTTGGGCTGCATTAGACAGGGCATTGCCAGCTGTTTGAAGGTGATCCCTCCACTCTACTCCACCTTCTACTCAGCTCCACCTGGAGCACTGTGTCCAGTTCTGGGCTTGTCTTGTACTGCAAGAAAGTACAATGAAGGGTCATAAAGAGGATTGAGGGAGTGGAGCATCTCTCATATGAGGAAAGTCTGAGAGAGCTGAGGTTCTTCAGAAGAGGCTGATGAGACTCTTGCGAAGGGGAGTCTTGGAGATGATCTTATCAACACGTATAAATACCTGAAATAATACCGCTCTTTGCAGTGGTACCCAGTGACAGGACCAGAGATGGTGGGCACAAAGAGAAACACATGAAGTTCCTTCTGAAGATCAGGAAACACTTTTTCACTGTGAGGGTGACCGAGCACTGGCACAGGTTGCCCAGAGAGGTTATTCTCTCCCTCCTTGGAGGTATTCAAAAGCAGCCTGGGCAGGTCCTAGCTGTACGTGGCCCTACTTGAGCAGAGAGATTGAACAAAACAACCTCCAGAGGACCCTTCAAGCATCAACCACTCTGTGAATGTCAGACCTTTCAACTTCATATTATCTCCTGAAATTCTGTGATCCCAGGAGACTTCTGTTTCTTAAGAGAAGCTGTTCCAACGTTTGTCTGATTATTTAAATTCAGCAGATGGCCAAGAAACAGCTATCCTCAGAACTAAGGCCTAGTATTGACTGACAGATTGCATAGAAAACATTAAAGTGCTTCTAGTTATATTCTGTGCTATAAGATGCAGGTCAATAAGCATATTTTAAAATATGCTTGTGTATAAAACTGCTTTGAGAACAAGAATGACTTGAAGTTGCAAAGTAATTGAAAAGGTAATGAGCCTTCCCTAAAACAACCTGCTGGCTTCAAGAAAAGTTGGTTTAGTTTTTTTCAGTTTAACATACTGAATCCATTTTTGCCTTGGTTGTTTCTGCTTTGAGAGGAAAATTCTGCCTGAAATGAAGGAGTAATAAGAAACATTGGGTTTTTTACCCTTACTTGTCAGTGTGTAGAGAAGTGCTGGTCTTGGATTATCTTCAATAAAAAGGCTAGTATGGAAATGCAATTTTTGATTCTACCAGTAGTTTTTTTTAATATAGGGATGAAGAAAAAAATTTAAAAGGATGATCATTAGCATGAGCAGGGCCTAGGGCCTGGAAAAGATTTGTATGGTGGGAGTTGGAGCTCAGTGTGCTTAGATCAGGCAGTACTTAATTACTTCATAGAAGTAGCTTCCTGCATAATATTAAAGGACATTCAAGTGAAAGCAGCATATGAAGGAAGAAGCATTAGGAATTGAAGACAGAAATATTAGAAATGAAGCAGACAACTTTAATAATATATGCAATCAGTCTTTGAGGAGATCACTGAGAAAAGTAGTGTGTTTTTCATCTTACAGTGTCATTTAAACCCAAACTGGATGCCTTTCCTAGATGATAAATTAAATGAAATTTAAGTTAATGGGCCCCGGGCAGAGGTAAAAGAGTAAAATGAAATGAGGTCAGTCTAAATCTAAGCATTCCTTTCAAGTTTAAGCTTTATAAATTGAAACTTTCTGGAATGTATATGAGTTAAATTTCCTTCTGTGGTGATGCTCTTGTAAAGCAGGTTCTTCTGTGGTGTTCTGTTATCTAGCATTTATTTAATCCATAATAGAAGTACAGTTCTGTTTTAGCCATGTGCACTGCACTTTTAACTGTAAAACATTATTTGGCATCATTAACATCATTAACCACTCGACCTGTTTTTCTTTTCTTATCCTTGTTTTTCTTGGAGAAATTGTCCTGACCATTAAATGGAAATTTTATAGTCTATAAAGGCATAATTGAACTCAACTGCGATTAGAGACTTGCAAATGTAATGTGGTATCAGAGCGAAATAAGCTGATTTAAACTACTGCACTTGGTTCCACTCCTTTAGATTGGGAAAAATCATTTGTGAATTCCAGTTGGCATATGAAAAATGAATTGCATAGTACTATTTATTTGAAAGTATCGTTACCACATAACTGTGTAAGAAAACCAGTGTACTTAGCACACTTGCAGAAACCCAAAGCAAAAATAAGTACTGTTTTTGTTAGAACTGAGGATAAAACAGGTTCAGGAAGAAATAAATGCAAGGAATATTCTGGCTGGATACATTACAAATTTGAATTTCATTTGTGAGAAATTGATTGACCTGGTTACTTCTATCTATATATAGAAATGGGTGTATGCAAATTGCTTATCATTCTGTAAAACCTAATTAAATGAAAATTGTATCAAAGACCCCTCATTTATTTAGGATAAGTGTTTTAGGTCTGAGATGAGCAAAATCAATATGTCATTACATGTGGCAGATCTAAGTAATTATTGAACAAGGTGTCGGTGTTTTGGCTATGTTAATAAAACAAATACACTGTATAGCATTTGGATGTTATTGTAGGAATGAGATTATGATATATTTTTGTAAAATTCTGCAGTTAAAACAAAGTGGCATCCTTGTATGGGTTCTTTTGCATAGAGAACCCCACTCTGGATTTCTGCATGCACCTCCTCATGAACCTTGGAAGTCATTGAAATGCAGATTTAGGGAAAGCTTAGACATTCTTATCAACATTTGTTGTTGTGAACCAAATGGCTCTTTTCAAATGCTGTTAGTAGTATTTTCCCTGTTTTCCATGCTTGGGCACTGCAATCAGGAGCGGTAGAGGGAGATTGCAGGTGTCTATCTGGTTGACTGATAGGAGATTAGTTGTGATTGCAAAAAACTATGGCTACTCTTGTTGTACTGTATACATCAAGCCTTATTCAGTGTTGTCTGATTAGTTCCGAACTCATTTTCACAGTTACTCACAGTTGCTTTTTTTCCCTTACATATCTCTCCTCTTGAAAGCTTTTCTTTTTCCATCGTTGATTATATAGTTTCAGAAGAGGTGGGGTGATTTTTCATCCTTTCTTACACCTAGAATTGATTTTAAGGTCCATTCTCATTGTATCCTTGACCTTCTGTAATCTCCATTATTTCCTTGTCTTTTAGTCCTAAATGAAGATTTCTGTCGTATCAATGCAGTTACTAAAATGATTTGACTGTTTCTGCTTGCAGCATTCTTTCAAGAGAATTCTGTTGTTGCAGGACAAAATGTGCATTAAACTGCAGGTGAATTTTTTTTCAATTGATGGAATAAACCAGGCTTTCTAAATTTTGCAAGGTTTGATGCCTGAGTTTAACTTGTAGATATTAGGATAGCTAAAAACATGCTAATACACTTAAATCCCATTACATATGCTTGTCTGAATAAGATAGACAGGAAAAAGCTTTCTTCCTCCAGGCTGAAGACCTGTGGAGTATCCATGCATAAAATAAAGACATTGCTTTCTAAATAAGACAATTTATATTAAGTAAACTTGAGTCACTCAACTTGAGTTCAGTGAATATGGAAAGAGGAGACCCATAGGTTTCCAAATGCAGAACTGTACAGTTCTGAGTGCAAACATCAGTGCAGGCAGGTGTGTAAGCAGTCCAGACATTTACATTTCAATGTCACCCGAGGTCCATGAGGAGGCACATCCAGAGAATGTGTTCCCACACACGACCATCCAGAGTTGTGTGCACCTGTGGAGGAGACTATTGGGAAACTTGGTTGGTTGGTAAGTAATTTGTTTGTACTGTGTACAAAGCAAACATGTACGTAAAACTGAACTCAGAGAATCACAGAATCATTTAGGTAGGAAAAGACCTTAAAGTTCATTAAGTCCAACTGTTAACTTGGCACCATTCCATTATTTTCTGGGCTGCACTGCTGTGTTAGCATCTACTGCGTGTAGATGGTGCTTTTGAATATTTTGGGGATGTTTATTTGAACAAGCATAAGCCAGAATCCCAGAACAGCGTGGACAGGTATTCTGATCCCCAAAATATTCAAAACTAAATTGGTAGGTGTTATTCTTTCTTGGCTGTGGTTGTAATAACAGTGGTGGAATAAGGACAGAGATAGGCTGTGGAGATAATAAGAGGATGGTTTCCGTGGCTATTGAATGCTCATATTTTATCATGCTTTTGTAAGCAGTACAGTGCTGTTTCTTTCTTTCATTTGGGGGAGCAAGGACACAGAGATTTTTTTAGAAATAAACATGGCTGTAAGCTGGCACAGGTTTTGAGAGATAAGTAATGGTTCAATTTAAAATCAGATAAACTAATAGTTGTACATTTGCACACACAAACTGGTTGACATTTGTGAAATGAAAACTTCTTTTTACCTAGTCTACTAATAATTGCTCAGATGCTCTGACACTTACAAATTATTTTCTCCGCAAAATTCTTCTGCTATATCATACTTAGAATCATGGAATCATTTAGGTTGGGAAAGTCTTCTAAGATCATAGAGTCCAACTGTTAACCCAGCACCACCATGTTCACCATTGAACCATATCCCCAAGTACTATATCCGTGTGCCTGTTGAACACATCCATGAATGGTGGTTCCACCACTTCCCTGGCAGCCTGTTCCAGTGCCTGACCAGCCTTTCAGTGAAGACTTAAGCCACTTTCCAGCCACTCTGACCAAGCCTGTAGCACTGCACGGAGCTGTTGTGACCCCACTGCAGGACCTGACACTTGTCCTTGTTGAACCTCATACAGTTGGCCCCAGCCTTTGCACCAATCCAGCCTGTCCAGATCCCTCTGCAGAGCTTTCCTACCCTCCAGCAGATCAACACTCCCACCCAAAATAGGGTCATCTGCAAACTGACTGAGCGTGCACTCAATCCCCTCAATTTTATCAATCTGACCTAGGTTTATTTTGATTTTAAATTCAAAGATCAGATATTTTTTTATTTTTTTTGATCTGAGAAAACACTGTTCATATCAAGCACTTTAAAAAAGAAACAAAGTCACCTATATAAAGTGTTAAGTAGGAAGTATGGGCTTTAAACACTTACTGAGTCTGGAGTCATTAAATGAGTGTAATGCTTTAGTAGTAGAAGAATGACTTTTTTTTGTTTTCATAAGAGAGAGAGATATGTTTAGGGAAGTAAACAAATAGAATGTTTACGTAGCAGGTAGGTATGTACACACTTAAAATGAATGCTGTGTCATAGATTCCATCCTGCAAGTTCTCTACATAAATCTGAACTTTAAAATTTAAATTGCCTTTCTGCTTCATTCAAAAAAGTTTCCTTATTTCAGTCCTTTCCTATCTCTGTTTAACTTTTGAATTGATGATTGTAAAGAGCCTAATTAACTGTATTTTTATATGTTAAGGCTTAGAACTCGTAAATGCTGAGTTACCTGGATAAATGTTGTGGTAGTACATCTTGCTACATGTATGTAAATTTTCATTTGCATTCCATGTTAGGCATCAAGGGAACAAATTTAAATTGCCTTCTGTTATTTCGGTATCTTTCACTGAATGAATGAAATACTTCTTTTTAATTCATGTGCATAAGCAGCAGAAGTACAATTGTTGGCTGGTCTGTTTTTACCTCTCATCTTGTAAAGTAGAAAAATCCACATTGCTGAAACTGAAAGTCACAAAAAATAGTATAATTGAGTTTTTTTCTTAAAAGGTTCTTGCTATTAGAAGATTTAATACCGGCAAGAAATTGCTGTTCAGAGAAAATAATTTTACAGCCAATTTTGTAGTTACCCAGGTTTTTGCATATTCATACTAGAAGTGAATGTAAAGATTTGAAGGTTCTTTCAATGCATTTCTGCCTCATGCTCTAAATTAATTTCATTTGTAATTATACAGGAGGTTCTGCATGTTGCAGGAGTGGAAATGCAGTTAACAGCTGCTGTTTCATTTCTGACTGTTCTGCAAGAGGAGTCGGTGTCCATTCATACATACTCCCACTCCTTCCTACACATCATTCTGCAGAACCTGGAGCACAGGGATGCAGGTCAGGGCTGTACAACTGCACTGATGACTGATTACTTCTATGTGTTTTGTTTCCTTTGTGACTGTACAACACAGTGTAAAGCAGTGAGTGCAATCACTGAGACTTTGTATCTAGATTTGCATGAATGAAAAGATGTTTGCAGGACAACCACTTACGTAGTGATACTGAAATGTAATTCTGAATCAAGCAAAAAATACCACTTTGAAGGATTAAATACCAAAGTTGTTACTGAGCCTGAGCTACTCCTGAAGTACCAAAATTTTGTGGTTGAGGTAGTTGACATTTCTTCTGTGTTTTCTCAATTTCTTTGACACTGTTCTTAAGACATCAAAAAAAAAGGCCCCTTATAAAACTAGAAAGTTTCAGTGGGCACAAGGAAAGAATATGCTTCTAAATGAGGGAAATTAGCTTAACAAAACAAAGAAGATCATCATTAATTTTATACAGGAATTGAAAATGTCAAAGAAATGGGGACAGAATTTGCTTCTCATCTGTCCTACTTCTATCCTGAATGTTAATTTAGTGGCTTTTAGATACATAGCTCCTTGAAGAAAACTAATTTTGTAAAACTGATGTGTGTTCTGTTATAGTTGTTCTATGTGCAACAGAACATATCACATCTAACCTCTTTCTTTTGAACAGGTGTCAGCAATGCATGGTTAGAAACTCTTCTTGCTGTAATAGAAGCTTTACCAAAAGAAACTGTCAGACATGAGGTAATAATATTCTCCCATTTACACTAACAACAAATAAGATTAAGATTGTAAGATTCTATTTGCCTGCAAGTTTTATTCACTTTGGTAAGATTTGTGGCAGTTCTGTACCTGTGAAAACAGTAATGCTCATGGGACACACTGGAAGGGAGGAATGGGCTAAAAGGTGAGACAGGAAGGTCACCTTAAAAAAATTTGAGTGTTTGTCAGCAAATAAAGTTGATACTGTAATACTTCCACTTCACTTAGTATTCCCAGTACATGTTTTCATGTATCCTGTTTTGATTTACAGGATAGTATCTTGTTCTGTGTCTTCATGAAGAAAGTAAATTTTTTTTTTTTTTTTGCTATTGGACTAAAATTCTGATTGCTGCTCAATGGAACTGAATGCTAGAGATCCATTTTGCTGTGTATTTCAGTTGTTTGGGAGGTACCAAAACCCTAATGCACTATAAATACCTAATTCTTCACTGTGTGGCTCAAGAAAAAGGAGGGAACTTGGTCACTAAGTCATAATGTCTCTCCCCTTTACTCAGCTAATTGATTCAGTTTGAAGTATTCATGTCATTGTTAAGTTTAAAAGCTTTACAACAGGTATATTTACTGGGTTCATATTTTTAAACAATATGGAGATTTAAATATATTATTGGTTGTGTAGTATAAAGATTCTCATTAAAATTAGTGGGTGCTTGAAATCCAGCTGCTAAAGGGTGAAAAGTTAGGTTGGAAGAAACACAGATTACTCCAGTCACCTCCAAAATCTAATTGTAATGTAATTTTAAAGATGCCATTTAAACAAAATGGAATTTCTCCCAAGATTTGCCTCAAAGAACACATTTGTAAGCTTCCACAAAAATTAGCTTTGGGAAGATGACAGCTGATAAAGCACTGTTGATTCAGCAGTGATACAGGAAGCTGAATCTGAAATGAGCCTTCTGTGTTACTTGAAGAATCTTTGTGTCAAGAAACTTGGAGTATTCTAGTTCATTTTTTTTTGTGAGTAAAAATCATAGGTTCTGGGGACATAAGGAAAGGTGTGTCAGACCAAAGATCAATCCAACCCAATATCCTCTCTGGCAATGGCCACTTCATGGTGAGACTGTGTTTAGGGCAGTAACTGGCGTTAGTATTACTAGACATGGTGCTCTTGCTGTCGTTGTTCAAAGAAGTCCAATACAGTTTTGTAGCTGGCTAATACTGTACTTCCTTGTGCATTGTTACAGTTAGAAGTGTGCCTTATGTAGTAATTCTAGTCTGCAGGATCTGTTTGTCCTTAGAGTGGTAACACTCAGTCACTTCAAAATTTCAGCTGGTAAGAGGAGAAGGAAAGTACATTTAGAAGATTGTTGGACTTTCCTGCCCTGTAGATTATCCTTTTGTGGAGCTCTGCAAAAGAGATGAGGAACTGTGGCAGATTACAGGAGATACCTCTCTGTGGTGCTTCTCTTGGCCTGGATTCCTGTGATTATTTCTAGGCCAACAATAATATACCTAAATATGGTGTTCTGCAGGCCTCTCTTAGTTTGTTTCTGGCATCACAGAGGTGATCCAATAAATGACAGCAGAGCTCCAAAAAAGAGACAGGTTTTCTGTGTCTCTGTGCAAGTGAAACATCTTCCCTACAGATCCCCAAAGTGTGCATAATCAAGATGGATTGTTGCTGCAAAACTGTACATCAAAAGAAGTGTTTCCTGGGAAAACTTACAAGAAAGAATCTCAGAGAGGCTTCCTTTTCCTTTCTCTGCATATTTTTCTTGTGTGTGCAGGAACATATTTAACAACTTTTGTGAAAATTGACAGCTAATTGCTATAAATATTTCTTTACAACTTAGTCTGAAAATAAGGGCATGAGTAGACAGATGTAAAACTGTGGCTGTGGTGTGAATCATAAACAGCTATTTGGGCCAAGATAGAGGTTTAATACTCTATGAGTAGCACTGCATATTAAATACAGGTTTCCAATAGGCTATTGATGTACAGAGCCATCATTACTGTCAGTAATACTTTATCTGATGCTCACAATCCTCTGTTCATATTTTTCTTTTTTTTTTTCCATACAGATCCTGAATCCACTTGTCTCCAAAGCACAGCTTTCTCAAACACTTCAGTCTCGCTTAGTTACTTGTAAAATCATGGGAAAAGTAGCTAACAAATTTGAAGCTCATATGTAAGTAGATTGTAAATAAATACTCATTCCAAAGGATAAACCAGTATTGCTTTGTTAGTGGACAAAAATTGCTACAAGAAAAGTAGACTTTGTTGGAAAAATTAAATGCTTTCTTTTTACAGATCCATTTATCTGCATATTAGTTAATAATAAAAAACATCCATCATGTAACTAGTGTATTCAGACTTACTGATGTTCATCAGGTTATAACTTCAGTTTGTATGTTCTTTCACGGGTTTTCATGCCATTCTTCTATATTGTTTTTCTAGTTGGAAAGGAAGCCAATCAGTGGATTTCTCTGCAATTTACAGGGACAAAACACAGATTCATCACCTTAGAGTTTATTATCATAAACAGGCTAATTCTGCTCCTGACTTTTGATTATCAAGTAAAATTAAACTTGTAGATCTATTTTTTCCTATCCCTGATGAAATGGAGATGTATCAGAAGCCACTGTTGCTGCGTGGTATTATCCAGCCCTTAGACTGAGTGTCTGTGAGTTTGGACAGCGGTGCAGAAGAGGAAAGCAATGATGAAAGTAAATTTGAATAACTTACCTGCCCAAAGCAGTTGGTATGGTACATTCCTTGGACACTTTATCCAGGCTTATGATAGTAGGACCATTTCACCGAGTGTGCTTTCTATACAGACAATTGGCCACATGTGATTTTGAATTAGAAGAGAAATCCACTGAGGGCTCTAAATGCATAGAAACTATGTCTGGCTAAGAAATTCTGTTCTGATAATGATTTTGATCTGCCCCAAAGTGAGCATAATAGAAAAGATGGAACAACAGGATGATATGATGACATTTAGGAATAAATACCTTTAGATTATGATTTTTTTCTTCAATAAAAAAGAACTAAAAGCAGCCAGAAGAAAACTATCTACATCTTTTGCTGTTTAGACTACTCTTGTTGGACATGCAAAAGTTAATGAGCATTGTAAAGGAGTATTTTTTGACAATGTTACCAAAGCCTTCAAAATCTTTATATTCCAAATTGGTAGAATTCACAGAATAGCAATTACTTTTACATATTTGATGTTACATTCTCATGAAAATTGAGTAAATTTTCACTGGAATGAGTGAAGGCTGTGCAAACTGGCTTGAAAATTTGCTTGTCTGTGTCTGCATATTATTTCTCTTGAGTTTTGCAACAACAAAAAGATTTGTATAGAGATATTTTATGAATACTCATGGCAGCATCTTGGGCAGTGAAAGGAAACACAATGGCTGATTCTGCCAAGATGTTGAATGTGTTTTTACTTAAACAGAAATCAAAGTAGTTATTTTGCATCTGCCATTGATTTAATGTGAATACTTGGTCTACTTGCTTGAAGGCATTGCCATATTTAAGCTTTTAATTGTAAACCCTTTTTCTCCTTTCTTCTCAATTATCTCTTTGGTGCTACCTGCATACCAAAGATAAGATATTACAGGCATTTTACTGGAATTTGCACTTCTATTTATATAATTCTTTGTATTCTTTCAGTGGCTGTTAAATATTGTGCTGAAGCTGGTTATTAACTGAGGACACATTCTCTAAGACTACCTAGTATTTTTGTAGTTTAAAAAGTAATAGATGAAATATGATAAATGATAATGGCAGTAAATAATCCTTTTCCTGTTTCTTTACAGCACATATTTGCATCTGATATGCAGTACTCTTTTATAATTGAAAATTCTCAGAAAACTCATATACCATTTGTGATAAATCATTTTTTTAAAAAATTGATGTTAGAAGTAATCTATGGGCAAAATTCGAGTACTGCTGAATGGATGTTTTATGTTCCTGTTCTGTATATTAATACAAAATTTTCACATTTTTAGTATTAAAAGGGAGGTTCTTCCATTGGTAAAATCACTGTGCCAGGATGCAGAATATGAAGTTAGAACTTGCATGTGTCGGCAACTGGAACATATAGCTCGAGGAATAGGGTGAGTACTGATAGTAAATGCAAAATCCTTCTCTAAAATATTTCATGGCAACCTAAAAACTCCTTTTAAAATTGCTGAACTCATGCATACACAGTAATGAATTTGGAGTGTACAGATGTGTTCTTAGGATTTGTCTGTTGGCAGTTGGCTCTTTTCCACTTTTTGATTTTTGTTTCTCTTTTATAGTAAAATTGCTGAACCATAAAACCAACAGTTTTTTGTAAGTAATGTCTTCATCTATAGCTTCTTGAAATCATCTCAATTATCCATTGATGGTATTTGGCTTATTTAAAAATGGAGGAGGATAATGGCAAGTCTTAGCAGTTTCTAATGATTGCTGTGCAGTTTTTTGAGAAAGCATGCTAAATGGGTTTTGTAAGCAAATTTCACTTCAGTATCAGCTAGTCTAAGCTTGAAGATCTTCAGTATTCACATATAGAAATAGAAAATATCTGGAATTTATATTTTAATAAAAGAACATATTAACTACCCACACGGGACTGGTCTCTGAGTGGTGAAATATTTTAAAATTCCACTTCTGTCCACATGTTATTATATCAGGGAGGGAAAAAAAACCAGTAACTTCTTTTACAGACTTGAAAAGGCTATCAAGTAAGGCTCCCTACCCTGTGTTAGACAGCAGGGATAGATCTTAAGTGTCCCTCCAGCTTTTAAAATTGTTAATTTGTGCACAAATTCAAGGATGAAGCTGACTCACAGAATCAGTTAGATTGGAAGGTGCTTGGGATTATTCCTCCCCAGGCGCAGGACCTGCATGTAGGCTTGTTGAATTTCAGTTGGCTTTTCTCTGCCAATCTCTCCAACCTGTTGAGGTTCCTCTGAGGTATCACCCACTCCTCCCAGGTTTGTATCATCAGCAAACTTGCTGCGGAGGCAGCTCTGTCCCTTCACCCAAGTCATTGATGAATAGTTTGAACAAAACTGGGTCCAGTGTGGAACCCTGGGGGACACCACTAGTGACAGGACTCCAACTAGACTCTGTGCCAATAGTCACAACTCCCTGGGATCTCTCAGCTAGTTTTCAATCCATTTTACTGTCCACTGTAACTGAAATGTAATTTGAAAGATATGGTAAGTATGTACCTCAGTTTGCTGGTACAGGTGTTTGGGGATGCCTTCCTATAGCTGTGGAGTGCTTTTTTAAAAAAAAAATGAGAATTCCATTATATTTTAGATTCTGAGTTACTAAAAGAAGCTCACCAAAAAACCCCAAAAGCAAAACACCAGAAATTCCTGAAGCAAAGCAATTTACCTCTCAGCCATGCAATAATGGAACAGTATTCAGGCAGTGTGTTAGCTTGCTCAGATTTAGGGAATTAATATTCACAGCAAGAACTAAGCATTGCTGCCATGTACTTAATTTGACTTTGTTTTGATAAGGTCATGCAGAATGGTAATTCCTAGATTCCTAGATAAACTTGGCTTTATTGCATACAAAATAGCTTTTAGCACATCTTCTGCAAGGTCCTTCTCCTGCAGAAGTTCAGACAATGTGAATAATGTTGAAAACACATTATTATTCATCTCAGTAAAGTTGCTCATTTGTTTTTGTACTTACTCTCTTTTATATCAAAATGTAGGTTAGCATGATAAGTCATTTTGATGTTTTCTATATTGAACAGCTTTGAATGTAAAAGAACTTGTGTTTACAGGGAAAAAGGTACTATTTGTCAATATGGTTGATATTTGTAAAACTGGAAATTTAACATGCATTGTACTAAATGATTTACTGAATAGTCTGAACTTTGAACACGTGTCTCGTGTATCTCTGTGGATCACAAAATTGAATTCTGTTTAATGCGAGATTAAAGACCGGAGAAAGAGAGGGTTCTGTTTTTCTCCAGGCAGTGACCTGGTATTTTTATTCCATCACTACTGAGTTTTGAAGGGACAGATGCTTCTAGCTGTTGTATCAGTTTGGAGATTTTTGGTGCCACCAAAATGGAAATCCAGGAAACACATTTGCAATTTTTTTATCCGTTAGTGATCTGTCCTGTGTATTTTTCTTTGCTTCTTTCCTCAACAACTTTTCTTTTTAGCATTAGTGTATCCATATGGACTGTTCTCTCTCTGAGGTTTTTGCCTAATCCCTTCCTAATGTTTTAGGTGCTTTAATCTCATAAGAACTGGTGAACTGTCAGTATTTTCAGTATGCAAGCTATTGCAGTGTTCCTTGTTGAAGATGAAGAGGTAGTAGGTAAATAAAGACAGTTAAATAAACAGAAATGAGCATATTTTTAGATAAATGTTGAAGGTATAGTGTGACAACAGTTCCAATGATTATTTTTACTAGTTAGTGATATTACCACTAAATAATACATCATTTTCTTCTAACTTTATATGAATGTTTAATCGTTTGTTTGTATGAATACTGTTAAGCTACCTCTTGATTTGCTTGTAGCAGTACTAAACTCTGTAAGGTGCAAATCACTTTAATGCTGATGTTAGACATTTGAAAGGATTATTGTTCATATTGATTTACAAAAGGGACAGCTATTACTACTTTAGTCTGATTGGAAGGGGTATTTTAGTCATTTTTATTTCAGCATCCTGGAGGTCATCATCAGTTCTGTATTAAAAACTATGATTGGAATGACAGTCTAAACTCTGTGTACACAGTTGCTCTGTGTCAAACATAGTTTTGACTTTGTCGTCTTGGCTAATGCTCATGTAGTGTAATTTTATCAGTGTTTACCTGCAGTGTTATGTTTTGGGCAATATAAATGGTCAGAGCCAGATCCATTACTATTAAATATTGCTTAGGTCCCGTTTGTGAGATGTGATGCTTACAACTCCTTTCACTATTTGACAAGCAGACCAAGAACTCTGTGAGAGCAGGACAAAGTGGGGTTCTTAACTCAAATGCAGACAAATTCACTGGAAATCTTGACTACTGTAAATAAAAAAATGAGCATGACAGAACAGAAGTGTGGAAATGGTTATGGCTTCCTAGTTCTTAATAACAGGGCTGGAGAAAAGATTTTTCTGATCTCTTAAAGTAAACAAAAATCAGTTATATTCTAGGGCACAGGGAAGTATGCTGCTTGGTAGGTTCTAGACAAGCTATACTTTTGCTCCAAGAAGCAAATCTCCTTTCATCTTACTTATGCCAGTCACAAATTTTACTGTCAAGAGTATTTCACAGAATCACAGAATCAATTAGGCTGGAAGGGACCACAGTGGGTCATCTGGTCCAACCTCCCTACTCGAGCAGGGCCACCCCAGAGCACATGTCTCAGGATTGTGTCCAGGTGGTTCTTGAATACCTCCAGTGAGGGAGAATCCACAACCTTTCTGGGCAACCTGTTCCAGTGCTCAGTGACTGCACAGGAAAGAAGTTCTTCCTTATATTCAGGTGGAGCTTCTTGTGCACTAGTTTCTGCCCATTACCTCGTTTTATTGGTTGGCACCACCAAGAAGACACTGGCTCCATTTTATTGGCACCCTACTTTAGATACTTGTATAATTAATGAGGTATTTCACTCCTTACTGACCTCTCTGATTAAACTCTGATTTCTAAATAGTTGGAGTCCTTTGAGTTTTTTCAGATTGCATTAATTTTCATTTCCTTAGAACTTTCTTCTTTTCAGCTACCCCAAAAATACCCAGATGAGTATTTCAAGGAAGAATTGTTTTTTGCTGTGGCAGTATTATTTCGTTATAAGTTTTCTTTTGACAACTTGCCTCACGTTGCAGGACAGAACTCACAAAAACTGTGGTGCTTCCTGAGTTAGTAGAACTGGCAAGAGATGAGGGCAGCAGTGTACGCCTTGCAGCCTTTGAGACATTAGTGAATCTGCTTGATATGTTTGATGCAGGTAAGAATTTAGGCTTGCTAGCCCAGTTCTTTGTGCTTTAGTGCATCTTAAAACTGTATTTAACTGCTTTTTGTTCTGTGACATTCATCAGACATTTCTCATTTTATTTTGTTTATTGTCTTATCGTTTATATATTTTATCTCTTGCAGTGCTATATATGTAGAAATGGAGGTAAACCAGTTATCCATGAAATCAGTTAGCTTATTCCAAGTTTCTGATGTAATGTGGCTAAATGGAATGAGTAAGATTTCATGGAATCGTAGTGTCATCAAGATTGGAGGAGACTTCCTAAGCTCAAGTCCAACCATTAACCTGCCACTGCTTTAACCCCTAAACTATATTCTCCAGCATCAGATCCAGACACCTCTTGGCCTCTTCTAGGGTTGATGGCTCCACCACCTCCATGGGCAACCTATTCCAGTGCCTGAACATCCTGTGTAAATGATGGGAATATTGGGTTGCTAGTATTTAATTAATTTAATGCTCTCAATACCCAGAATACAAATTGTTAGCTTAACAAATATTTACTGTACAGGAACTTGGTGATGAATGACTAAAATACATGGTTGCATTTAAGCTGAATGGAGGAGTACATAAAGAAAAGGAAAAATAAGATTGTCTGGGGGAGAATATCATAAATGGATGTTTTAGAAGTTAGTGTTTATATCAGTAAGTATGATAGTAGGTTAATTTTCAAATTATTCAGCCTTTGCATTTATGCTATCAAGTCTGTGCTTCTCTTTGCACCTCTCAGTCTTCACTCCTCCTCCCCCACCTCCAATTGCTCTAACTGCTGCTTTGAGCTATTGAAAAAAAAACTTATAAAAAGCAATGCATGGTTATTTACAGGTTTGTAAGGAATGTGTTTGTGGAAATTTTGTTTTTAAGATTTTTCACTTTCATGTCTGAACTGGAAAACTAACATTTTTGAAGGTAGATGACCCAAAATTATATGCTAGAGTTTCTTTCCCACAATATTGAAATACAAAGAAGGAGGGGAATTTTAGATTGGATATTAGGATTCAGGTGAGGGTGGGGAGAGAGTGGCATAGGTTGCCCAGGGAGGCTGTAGCTGCCCCAACCCTGGCAGTGTTCAAATCCAGGTTGGATGAAGCCTTGAGCAGCCTGCTCTGGTGGGAGGTGTCCCTGCCCATGACAGGGGTTGCAAGGTCCATTCCAACCCCTTAACATTCTGTGATTTCTTCAGGTCAACCTAACGACTTTGTTCAGCCATAATTATTTGCTGAATTTTGTTGTTGATTTACCATTAGAAATCCTAATCTCTTTAAAACTTGAACATTTTAATACGAGGATTTTATTTAAATTGAGTCACAATGCAGACATTTCTTTAAACATTTGCTCCTTTATTTTATAAGGAGACAGAGTGCTTGGATTTTACTTTAGTTTCTAAATTATTTAATTTCTTTCCTCTGTCTTTAATTATTTTGGGTTTTTTTCCTGAGAATTTATTGTATACCAGAAGATTTTGAAACTCTTCTCAGCAGGTTGAAAAGAAATTCCCTTCCAACATATCCAGATGTTTCTTTTTACTGTCACAGTCATGTTCAGTCTTGATCTCCCTGTATTACCACTGTGGTAGGAGATCTTATTGTAGGAATACTACAGTATTATTTCTCTCTCTGCATTCTTGGTGAATGGAGAAGATAGTGACTGTTTATTATTGACTTTGCCTCATCCTTTACTGGGGAATGCCTTTTCCGTAACAGCAGCCAACCAACCTAAGAGAACAGGTATTAAAATTTAGGACCTATATTATGTTAGCATGTTCATCATTCTCTTGTTTTGTACCTCCAGTGAGTACCTGCCAAAAATACACTGGAAAATGTTAAGTGAAACTTTTGGTATTTTGTTATGGAAGTTCACTCTGCTCTTTCTAAAATGTTGACAAATGGCTAACTCTGAAATTTTTTTTTTGGTTTTCAGATGATAGGAGTCAAACTGTGCTGCCATTGGTGAAATCATTCTGTGAAAAATCCTTCAAAGCAGATGAATCTATCCTAGTTTCTTTATCTTTCCATTTAGGGAAACTGTGTAATGGATTATATGGTATGATTGAATTTCTTTTTTTAAAAGTCTTAAAAATGAGGGAATATTGGAGAATTTGAACCCCTTGAAAAACACCCAGATTTGAGTGTACCAAATGAGATGGTAGTTAGTAAAAGAAATATGGAAGTAAAAGTTTGACATCATCTATTGCAAATACTGGATTTTGGGAATTTCCTCTTTGGGTGACCATCTGTTTATTATTTGCTGGTTTTGTTTTGTTTAGTCAGGGTCAGAGATGGAAACATGGGCGTTTATGTTTATTGGTTTGACTGATTTATTTGGGTAATCTGGAGTTTGTGATAGGGATGACTGAATTCTTGAAACTAGATACCTTTAAAAACACAAGTATGATGTTAACTTTGTATGCTTACTTCTGTGCTGGGTCTCCTTTTTAAGGCACAGAACAAAGTGTGGCCCACAAGTAATTTCAGGGGAGAAAGGAAAACTAGTGGCATGTAGATTCCTCAGCTCCTGCTGAGACCAAATCTCTACCCATAATTTTTGTACCCGTAATTACTCCTCAAATTCTCACTTGAGCACAACAGATCTTTCCTTGATCATTCTGCCCACCATGTATTACCTGTGGAGAGACAGCACAGAATCATGGTTTTACATTATAATTTCTCTCTAGCCTCTTAAACTCTTTGATCTTTCTTACAGCTCTTTGAAATGATCCTTCATGATCATGTTAGAGACTATCAAAGTGACTGTTGCTTCAATGCAAATTACTTGAAGTGGCTGTTCCAGAGTGTCAGACTGTTATTTCCAGAAACAGAGAGCTAGAACAGTCCGTCCTGTATTTATCATGTCTTTCCAGTCTTATCCCTAGGTTGAATGACTTCATTTCTGATTTGTCTTCACCTCTGAACTCTTGACAAGTTTGTATTTTTCTACAAGTGTTATGCATTGGGACACCTGAACTGTATGATTACTTTAAGTGTCTTGCAGGACATATTGCTGTTTACATTCTTCAGTATGAAAACCTGCCTTTTTTTCCCCCTGAATAAATGTGAGAGCTAGTTACTCTTTCCTGGCCTAGTGCAGGTGATGCAGATCTGCCTGAGCATAGCACTTTGCTGCTGTCCTGCTGGAATAATAGTCTAAAGGTTTAAGACCATACATCCAGTTCCTGAAGATCATTTTAAACTCTCTCTTCTGAAGAATAAGCAGTCCTGGGTTGATGTTATGAGAATCTTGAATAAGCAAAGTCTCTCGTCCGACATCCACAAAATCAGTGAAAATAATGAGTAGTACCAGAACTAGGATAGACCATTCTTTATACAGTTGCCTATCTTGTCAGTGATCCATGGGTTACTTGCTCTTAGCTGTTTTTCCAAGCAGTTTTGGAGCACCTTTATAGTTTTTAATCTCTCCTTCCTGTTCCCTTATTTAGCTTGCGAAAAACATGACCTTTACTGCCTCTGTTTCACAGGTCCTGTTATCCTGTACTAGAAGGAAATTTTGACAGTTTGACAAGTTTTGCTTTTGCCATGTTGGCTACGGCTACTTTCTTCTTTTCTTTCCAGTATTTAGAAGTAGATTTTTTTGTTTGTTTCAAATTTTTTCAGAAATGTGAGAGTAACCTGACTGATCTGTAATTATATGGCTTGACCTTCCCCTCTCCAGCTATTAAATGAATCAGTACCACTTCAGCCCTTTTCCATTCTGTTATCTGACTTATTTAAGATTCAGCAGCTAGTACTTAAATACTTTTGAATGCTTGGATGAAGCACTTTTGACAGCACATTTTGAAAACCTCTCATGTTTGAGTATTACTTGACCTGTTCCTTCTCTACTTAAAGCTTGATTCTTTGCCTCAGTTATTAATTGTACTGAGCCTGATGATACTAGTAGGATTTGAGAGAGAAAATAAAAGCATTAAGCTTTTCAGCCTTCTTAGTACCAATCACTGATAGCTTTCCTCTCTCTCTAGAGAAAAATTGACCTTTTCCTTGATTGTTCTCTTATTCCTAAATCACTTGTAATTTTTGAAGTCATCCTGTAGTTTGTTCTGAATTCTTTTGTGTTTAGCATACTCTGCTAGACTCAAGGTGGAGGGATAAAAATCGACATATTTGATAGATTTTTAAATGAGATTTGTTTGGGGACATTATTAATAGCATTTGTAATGAGGAAAGTTTGTTGTTTTGTTTTGTTTTGTTTTCTTGAGGCATTTTTACTCCTGAACAGCACTTACGGTTTTTGGAATTTTATAAGAAGCTTTCCACACTGGGTTTGCAGCAGGAAAATGGACACAATGATAACCAGCTACAACTTCAAACTCTGGAACAGGAAAAGAAGTATATTTCAGTGAGGAAGAACTGTGCTTACAATTTTCCAGTAAGTGACATTAATTTAAGGTTAAATAATCTGTGTCATGCGTATCATTCACTAAACAAGACTGCATGAGTGATAGAGAAGTTATTCTCAAGCTGTTCATTGGTAGATAGATTCCAGCTCTCTCCTGCAAAGTTTACGTTAATGAGATTGTCCAAAAGAGTTACCAAGAAAGATTGCTCTTGGCAGAGCCTCTGGAAATTATTGGCCAGTTCTGACTCAGCCAATGCTGTTTTTTTTTTTTCCCATACATCTTCTCCAAACTCTTAGCACAAAAGCTTTGAGAAAATGGCGGTGAAACAGAGTCCTCAGTTTCAAACCACTCAAAGCTACACTTTCACATTCATTGTGTATCATGTCATTCTGGGGAGTTGAAGATTGAATCTGAATGGTTAGATTCATGTTTTAGTCATCTTCCTGCCAGAGTGCAGAAAGTCTGATCAATTTTACGTGAGCTCTTTAAATACACCACTCATGTTTCTCTTAATCTACTTTATATTTTGACATTCTGCATTTATATTCAAAGAAAATATGTTTGCACCAAGAGCCAGGAGACAGCTATTTTTATTCTACCTTTTAAATACAAGCACCCTTTATGTAGGTAGACATCTGTTGGTTTATTTGAGCAAAACCAAGGTATGTACACACAAAATCAGGCTTAAATTCAGATTCTTGCTGCTTGCTAAAATGTTCTTTGTTTTTGAAGTATCCAGTTGCAGCTGTCACTAGTGTACAGAAACATTAACAGTATTTCTAAAACGAAGGTTTTATATCTTGTAGTTTTAATCTATGTCTTCAGAAAAAAAGTCTTCAGCATGTCTGGAAGATATGTAAATTCAGTTTAGTTTGCAACTCTGGAATTTGTCTGGTGCCTGTGTTTTAACAGGGCCATCAAAAACTCCATACTTCCTGCTTAAAATAACAACCTGTTTTCTCTCAAGTTCATCTGATAATCTCTGACAGTGTGGTCCTTTAGCTGTACAGTTAATAAGGGACTTTTTCTTTCCCCAGGCCATGATTGTTTTTGTGGATCCAAAGAACTTCCATTTAGAACTATATTCTATATTTTTCTGCCTTTGTCATGACCCTGAAGTTCCTGTCAGATACACTATGGCCATAAGCTTCTATGAAGTGAGTCTACAACAGTTCTTTGTTACTACTTGCATGCTTGTATTTTATTTTGTTTTCTTCTTTAAGCTTACGTTTGCGACTGTTCAACCAAAACAAAAAGACTTGAGAAAACATATTGCAATTCCTGAGTTGGTCAGAGGTGTTCAGTCCTTTCTACCTTCTGCATATAGCCCATCTACACACATTAGTTTGTGTAAGTTGTGTGACATTTGGCTGCAAAAGACTACTGCTAGATCAGCTGTTAAGGAGGAAAAGCTAGAAGAAGCTTAAAATGGTATAGCACCACAAACATAAACAATTGTAGTAATTATAGTATTTGAAGGTTTTCAGTGTTATTAGAAAACAATGAGACAAATGGCAGAAAGGAACTTGCTACTTCTGCTCCTGACAAGCTTGAGAAGTGTACAGTTTGCTGGTCTATGCTGGGATTCTATGAGGAATATTTATGTGGAACAAATCTAAATTAAATGCTCAATTTAATATGCAGCTACTTGGAAATTTATGAGATGTGAAAGCATATGTATTCTTATAATTCCTTTCAGGTTATGCAAATTCCACTCTTACTTTCAGAAAAGTTAAAAAGTTTAGAAAGACATAGATGATACTAGTTATATGAGGTGAATTCCAGAAATTAAAATACACTCTCCTGAATATAGAAACCCATATAGGGAAATCTTCAAGGTTTTCATAGTCTTTTACTCAGAATCCTAGTGTTTCAGTCCTTGAGTTTGTCCTTTATCCCATTTTGTTGCTGGGGAAATTGGTAAATTAAGCAGTTTGCTGAAAACATGTAAATAACTAGTAGAGGCACAAATGCCTTTACTTCCACCACTTTAAGAAAGATGGGTAGATTTCCACATCTCATTACCTATTGATGCCTTATTTTAATGAATGATAATCCAACATGATTGTTGACATTTTAAAATTACCATTAGTTCTGCATAATATTTTGTATTAGATGTCTAACACTGTTAAGGTAATGCCTGAATATAAGCAAAGTATTTTAGCTAATTTTTAAAAAAAATGTAAAATTTTGCCTTGGTCTGAATGTACATTTAGTTCTCCTTGATTTAATTTTAACAGCATAACTGGGAAACCACATGACAACCAAAAATGAGTAATTTATGGCATTCACTGCTAGGTGGGTTATTTTTTTAAAAAATTAAGTCCCTGTAGCCATTTCCTTATAGCTTTTTTGGAAGCAAGCTCTTATTTTCACTTGGCTTACGTAAAAAAAAAACTCCAACACATTAAAAACATCATCTAAATATTCCTTACGGCAAAAAATCTCATTCCTCAAGTTTGTCTCATGTTTGCTATAAACCCTTTTTAACAGTGTAGAGATTAGATGGACTGCTAGTGTTTTTAGAAATTTATATGAGACTTAGGCATTGCAGTAAAAAAACCCAAAGAAGTAAGGAGTGAAAACTTCAGATGGAAAGGTTGGGGAAACTTAAAATTCATCACTGGCTTAGCCAGTTTTTATGTTTTATCTTTCATAAATGATCCATCAGCTGACAGTTAACTCTCCTAAGGAGCATGATGTACAATATTTGAGTGTTCCAGAAGGAATTTTTCTAGCCTTGCAGTACAGCCTTAATCATTTTTGGTAAATGTGGAATAGAGTTAATTCTAAAAGCAGATTTCATGGTTAGATCATAGACCTGTTTCTTGACTCATATTCTTTACATAAGCATATTTCTGATGTGATAAAGTACACAACTTTAGGGGGCTGATATTAAGCAATTTTTCTGCATCCCTTCTTCATGCTTGCTGGGAAGTAAGTATGTGTTGTTGTGCCAATGAACTGAAGAATGTTTCACCTTGCTGTCTTACTGTCATTTTTTTAGGTTGCTAAGCTTTTAAATTCTGGTGTGTATACAATACATAAAGAACTGGTTACGCTATTACAGGATGAGTCACTGGAGGTAATACACTTTTATTGGAATTTTCTTTTGCTTGTTATATGGAGGCAGATTATCTGAATGTTTAATAACTCTGCACTAAGACAGTAGAGTAACAATTTGAAATGATCAACAGTTTTTGCTTCTGTTTCGCAGACACTGCATAGAGATACCAGCTGTGGGTGAATTGAAAGGAGAAAAATGGTGTTTGAATTTAGTAAACCCACACTGAATCTATTAGCTTTTAAAAATACTAATTCTAAATAGTTTTATTTCCTGTATTCTTTATTACCTTAGAAACTCTGGGGAAAGATTTGGTTTTGATACTTTATTAAAATAATAGTTGATAGCGTTCAAAGTTTTTGCTTTGCTTTTATTCTCCAGTTGAAGAGGAGATGAAGTTGTGTATGGTTCAAAGATCAAGATTTATAGAAGGAGTTTTGGTCCAAGATAACCTGCATAAAACATGAATCCTTTAGCTATATTGAAATCAACACAGTGAGACATTTTTGGATTGAAAAAAGGCAAATATTTATGTTTGAGACAAAGTCACCATTTCCCTTGGTAACAGTTATTCCAATAGTTGATGTTTTTTTGCTCTCTATGAGCATCTTTGGATATGGCATAGAAAAATGAGTTTTGCATTCAGGTGCTCCTTTTTCTTTTGGGACCTTTTGTTAGATGTTTTCAGGGAAATTGAAAGTGTTAATAGGACATCTATTTATAGTTTATGAAATTCTGACTCATATTAAAAATTTCTCAAGTTGAACACCTGAAGCTTGAGACTTAGAAGCAGCTAGTGATTTTGAAAAACTCCTTGTTTTGATCCCTGTATGTTTATAGGAACAATAACAAATATTTGGAGCTTTATCATTTATATAATCTCAGTCTGAATTGGTGCAAAAAATATTTATTTCTCTTCTTTTCTAGTCGAGTTTCAAGTATCACAAGCTTTGAAAGTAGGGTTATTCTATTAATATAGGCTGTATATTGTTTTTTTTCTATCAACAGCTTTTTTTCTTAACACAAGAAAAATCGCTTTTATGATACAGCTGATAAATATAAAAAATTACCATTTCTCAGTGTTCGTTGAGGCTCTTAGCTGCTGATGCAATGCAGATCTTTCTTAAGGACGAATGTTCATTTTAAAATACTGTATGCTGTGAATAGTTGAGAAAATATTGTCTGATCCCATTAATCAAAGCTGAGGCCTGTAATACTTATGTTACAACATTTAAGTGTCAGTTTTAAATCCCAGTCCTCATCGGTGCAGCTACAATCCATCTTTTTTTTTTTTCAACATGAGAGAGCAGTAGCATAAGAGATGTCAGCAGGGATATGTTGGTGAGAGTTAAAAATGTAGTCAGGTTAATTTAAAGACCTCATTCCTGCAACCTTTCTTTAAATAGGTGTTGGATGCTCTGGTAGGTCACCTTCCTGAAATCCTTGAGCTAATGACTAATGGAGGAGAAAACAATGGATCAGAAAGCAAGGTGGGTATTCTCATGGTTTTTTTGAATTCCCTTTCTAAATGAAGGTAGTAGCAAAGTTGTTCAGACATATTTTGTATGGAAAAGTTTGCTTTGCAGAGAGACAAAGTCTCTTTGGTCTTTTGTTTTTGTTTTTTTTTTTTGATTGTTGACTTTATAAACTTTAAAAATCAAGGGGTTTGAGAGATTAGACTTAATATAAAAATGAACAGTTTATCCAGGTTCTTTTTCTATTTAACTACAGCTGAGTTAAAATGAAACTTGGTTTCTTGCTAAAGGAGTGACAGCTAGTCCCTAATTTTAAATCTTTTTTATATTGATGTGCCTAATGCCCATGGTTGCCATTTTCAGACACTACTTCTGCTAGAAGGAAATCTATTCCCTGATGTAAAAGCACTGAATTAGGATTTAAGAGATCTGTATTCTGCTCCCAGCTTTGCTAATTCAATTGTATATGTGTCTGGATGATGCTTTACTCAGTGACTCCTCACCTGTAAGGTGGAACAGAAGAGATCATCCCTTGCTTTGAGATAGTGTTTTGAGCATAATTCCTAACTGTGTGGATAAATTGAGATATTGCAATAGTATAAGAACTGAATAAATCTATTTTATTCTATGGACAGAAGTTGAGAGTATAATTTAAAATTTGAATTTGTCAGACATTTACAGCTGTAAATGTGTATAACACAGAGAAAATGCAATGTCAAGTGTGGCAGTGCTTCATTTTTCTTAAGTGCTAAAGAGAATTTAGCTTGGCTACTATAAATTCCTTGCCTCCTACTGAGAAAAAGTGTATAATTCCTTTAATTCCTGTTAAAAATAATTAGGGAGTTGAGAACAATAACTGCAAAGATGAAAGGGATAGAAGAAAAATGGGATTCATTTGGTTTGAGAAAGAGAAGACTGAGGAGAGTTGGCGTAATGGTCTTCGTATCTGCAAAAGGGTGTTACAAAAAGAACAGTGATTAGTTTTTCTTTGTCAGGAGAAGGGGTTGGAGATAAAGGTGTATTTAGTTAGGTACTGGAATAGCTTTTGGACTAGTTAAGTGGAATTTACTGCTTAGGAGAGATTCTTTAAACCTAATCATTAAATTTTTCAAAGAATAAGTTAGCCTAGTATCTACTGGAAATGGTCACAGCTGATCCTGTCTGAGCAGAGGAATTAATTGACCCTTTAAAATCTGTTCCCTTCTTACATCATTGTGAAGTGCTTTTTAAGCATAGTAACATGACCTACAGCTAGAAGATGTAAGATTAATGTTTATATTTCTGTTTCTAGTTACTGTCTATTCCTGACTTGATTCCTGCATTAACAGCAGCAGAACAGAGAGCAGCGACTTCTTTAAAGTGGAGAACTCATGAGAAGCTACTACAAAAATATGCATGTCTCCCTCATATCATATCGAGTGATCAGATTTATTACCGTTTTCTTCACAGAATGTTGACAATCATTTTAACAAATGTGAGCCCACCTGTTGCTTTCTCATTGTTTTTTATTTGTTTATGCTACTTAGAGCAATGGCCACCAGATATTTGCTATGTATGTCTGTTATATTAATCTGAAAGTACTATTTCTCATTGCATATGGTACATCAAGCTGTGGGTTTTTTATATGTCTGAGAATTTGCTCTGAAAGCTTCCCCCCATTTGAGGAGCAAAATTTGGATTGACAGATTGTCATGTTTTTCCTCCTACCCAAGACTTCTTCCCTTTCCTTGTCTCATTATCAATTTGTTTCTAGTTAAATCAAAACTTTTTCCACTTAGATATGCCTTCTTTTTCCCAATTCCATACATAACATTGCATTGTGTTCCGTTCCTTATGCCAGAACACTGTGGTCCTAAAATAAATGACCATTTAGAGGTACTAGTCTGAAATTTTTCTGAGTTAAGTCAAGAATAAAACTCTGTTGTAAGAGAAGATGCAGGTTTTATTTTCTAATATAGAAGGTGCCTTACAAACATGGAATACTTTAAGGTGCTTTTGAAATAGGTGAATTTACAAGTTGGGCATAAGGAATAAACAAGTAGGTGTCTCATGAATTGGCCAGACTTCCTTATTCTGCCTTACATTATGCCAATTCTTTCAAAATTTATAAAGTAGGTGACTTTTTAGCTATTTTTTTCTACTTCTGGAATTTCTGTTTGTTTTTAGTCATGTTCTTTCAGGTGTGTTTAATTGTGTCCCCTTTATTTCTTTCAAGAATGTCCTGCCAGTCCAAAAAGCAGCTGCTCGAACCCTCTGCGTTTACTTGCGTTACAATCGCAAACAAGAACAGAGACATGAGGTTATCCAGAAACTGATTGAACGTAAGATAATTCTCCTTGGTTGCTTAGAGATGCAACTTAGTTTTGACTGAAGATCTATTTCTAGTTATATTTAGAGAGTGTAATTTATTCCATCATTGGAGGGATTACACTTTGAAGACATTCAGTTGCTCATATTATCACCAGGCGAAACATACTGTGCATATTTGAGGAATAGATCTGAGGCTTATGTAAAGGGATTGGGAAAGAGGCAATGTAGGAAACTGATAATATGCCAACACCCCTCCAACCCTACTTCTTGTACCCAAAATTCTTAATCTGTAGGTGCTGCAACATACAGAGCAGAGTTCCTCTCTGTAAGTACAGTTCTCTAGAGGCTGCAGCCTAAGAAGTGCTGAATAAATCTCAGAAATTAATTTCTTAGTCAATTGGTTGCCTAAAGTTGACTTTTTGGTGTAAGTTTTGTGCTTTAAAGATAGGTTAGAAGTTTTAACAGTTCCCATCAGCATTCCTTAATGTTTGCATGGTACTTTTGATACACCTGTGACATGGTTTGAAAGGCATACAGGTCTTTGTTCAGCACAGTAGCTAGTTCACTTGCTGTTTTTGCTTTTTCAAGTGCTCACTCACAGAAATGGTCATTGAATTCAGAATGTTGGTTTTTCACTGAAAGGAAGAATTGAAATAGGCTGTGAAGTTGTTCATTTTCATGCGTGTCGTTATCATCTTCCAGTCAAAGGTTAACTTCTGAAATGTTTTCTGTCTGACATTGAAAACTTGATAGATGATATCTGTGAATTTTTATTTTTCAGAACTGGGCCAAGGAAAAAGTTATTGGAACAGGCTTCGGTTTTTAGATACTTGTGAATTCATTATGGAACTGTTTTCAAAATCATTCTTCTGTAAATACTTCTTTCTACCTGTGCTCGAGCTTACACATGATCCAGTGGCAAATGTGAGGTATGAAGAGTATGTAGTAATGTGCAGGAAAAAAAAAGCTTTAAATAATATATTAATAAATAGTTAGAGGTTTTATGTCTTGTTTAAATAATGAGATGAGCAA